TTCATTTAAAATAAAGGGACATTAAGTACCCAGCTTGCATAGCTCACACCTGCCTCTAGGTGTCTTAGTCCTATCTTCAGAGCTTCCTTTAGTGGTCCATATGTGACACTCTGGGATATCCCAGCTGACCTTCTGCTAGCATTCCAGATGGCACGGATGATTCTCCTGAGTCTTGTATCATACCTACCTGTCCCTAAAAGACATCTCTGATCCTCCAGACATTTTAAATAGCACTACATACTTCTGTGTAGGTAACCAAATAGAATTAGCCAAAACAGATCTTTATACTTGGTCAGGTGAGTTGTACCTGGGGGGACATACTTGATGTTGTAAAACATATGAATCAGGGTTGTGTTTCCCTGGTGCAGTTTTTCATGGGTCTGACAGATGTGAGGCCATCATGATATTAAAAGTTTACTTTGTATAGCCTTATAAATAGTACCAAACCTTTTTATTTTTAGAACCTCATCTTGGAAGTCTGGTTTGTGAATCCTTAAGAGGATTCTTGTGTGTATTTAATGGAACTCAGTATAAAATACATAACAAATGTAAATAGGTTCCCTTCCCTTCCCTTCCCTTCCCTTCCCTATTTTTTTCTTGACAGCTTTTCCCTATATGTTTTCCTGTACACCATTTTTATACTTCTCCCCTCCTCTCTTTCCACTTCAGCCCTTAATTAAGCTCCACAGCTTTCTTTTGCAAGTCTTGCATTATTACTCAGCTCCATCTTTATAAAGGCTATGTAGCTGCTTTCTGAGCAGGAAGGAGTTTGTTTTCCATGGTCATTTGTGATTAATCCCTCACAAGATTTTTTTTTTTAATTTTTTTTTTTTTTTGAAGGGAGGGTGGCGAGATAAATTAAGCCCTAAAGACTTTTACCATTTAAATAGCTATGCAGGTGGGGCAAAGTCCCTTCTGTTCCTGTGCTTCTTGGTGTCCTTCCTGTTTCATCCTCATTCTGTCCTTTGCAAAGACAATGGAGATGGGAAAATGCCTGTCCAGTTCTGTCACTGCTGTCCTAAGTCCTCCTTCTCCTGTTTGGAAGAGATGTGTTTGTCTTCTTTTTGGTTCACACTAGAGCTTCTTTTGACGTGTAGCAATGCAGGTATTTTGCCTGTACTCTTTTTGTAATGCACACACAGGTAGCTGACTAAATTTTAGCTAAATCAGCTGCATGCTCTATTGTCAGTGCACTTGCTGCCAGGCAACACATATCCCTTACAAAACTGACCTGAAAAAAACCCATGGAGTTTTAGAGACATAGAAGACTGAAGTTACACTCTTTTTTGGGTACTTTTTCTTATAAATCAAATAAACCAGACATTTTAAAATCTGAAAGAGGTAGAAAAAAAAATTATCTTGTGTTTTGGTGGAATATGCCAAATGTCACCCTGGGGCAACATATTCATGTGTCTCTGTTATAAAACCAATATAATGGATGACTCGGTTACACAGTTGTTAAATTACTGGTTAAATTGTTACAGCTTGGCACTCTACCAGAGGTATTGTAGCTAAACCGCAGATGACACATAAGCCATTAGCTACCAATGCAGTCTTTATTTTTCTGGAGTTCTAAGACTTACTGCTCCACTGGAAGATGTTAGGAAGATTACTTTCTAGATCTAAGCAACAGTTTTCTTTACAATTTAAGTGAACAGGGTTCCACTTGAATAAGAACTTTGGGCGAGTCTGCCATGACTGATAACTTGGTCCCCAGACAGTGACAGGAAAGTGTTTTAAGAGAAAGGATAGTTTTATTTCATCATATGCTTTATCTACCTGTATCTGAAAAATATTTTTGCAACAATGCTTGAGAATATATTAAGTCTTTAAGCTATGTATTTTGGTCCAGTTAGGGTAAGCTACATTGTATTTCTGGAAGTGCTGATTCAGAGATGTGCATGGTAAGAAGATGTGGTAGCTTCTTCAGCAACTGCAGTGCACAAACTTACCCTGTGTCAGGGAATTCAAGGTTGCTTATCCATAGTGAACAGATTTAAGATGTTGTTAAAGTACTGGAAACAAGAGGTCGTGCAAGTTTCACAATTTGTTGGATAAAGTTATGATAAGAAAGTGTCAGTGGGCATAAAATTAAGTCAGAAACAAGACTTGAAAAATTATGTCTTATTTTTATTTAATGGTAAAATAATGATGCATATCTGATTGATAAAATAACTCTCCTATAAACGGATGTAGGTAATGTGGCCCAAAAGTTTGCTTATTTTCTCATTCATCCTAAAAAGCTCTTAAATTCTTTATTTCACTTCTGTTTGTGTGTCTGTCTGGTTGACTTTAGACATTAGTTTGGGGACACTTCAGTTGTTCTTCGTATGTATGTGAAGACTTGTCTGATAGAGTGTGCAGCATGGAAATTGTGGGTAATAGTAGATTATGTTTTCTGTGTTTAGTTAAGTCAGAAGACAGCAAATGAAAGGAGCTAATGGCAGACGGACAGCAAAGGTGTAGATGTGCTGTGGAATGTTGTGGATGCTAAAATTACATAGAGATTCAAAAAGCAGCAAGGGAAATTCACAACAGGTGAATTTTTAAAATGAAAAATATAAAAGCTGAGCTGCATATCTTGTTGATATGTCTTACTGTGAACATTGTTTTGGGTTTATTTATACTTAACAGTAAATTACCAGAGAGCACTTGTACTTGCTCATTACTGCTTTCTTTTCATACGTTCTAATTCAGGGTGTGTACTTGAGCAAAATTTACTTTAATTGCTTGATCAACTGGTTAGTTAAAAAGGCTCATCACTGCATCACATATGTTGAAGAATGCCTCTGGTTTGTTAAGAATGTAAGAGTCTCTTCGTTTATGTCATGTGGAAGACTGCAGAAATGAAAAGTTTTACCTGTGATGTACAGTCAATCTTTTGGCAAAGAGCTGCCCTGTGTTTTACCTCCTGGAAAGCTGAATTTACTGACTTGGAGAAAAGAGCAGGATCACATTTCTTGCACTGTACTTTTGTGGATACCCTTCTTAAATTTGTCCCTCTCTATCAGAAACCTTGAGTACTATTTTTGTCAGAGGAGGCAGACTTGAAAGACTGAGTATTGTGGTGTACATTACTAGTTGTCTGTGTGGTTTGAAAGAAAAACACTTTATCTCTCCATCAGTTTCCATCTGAGACAATTTTTGTCTATTATAAAGGAAGTTATATGAATTAATCAATTGCTGTCCTTGAGCTATTGGGTATTATGAAGCTCATAGAAAGAGGAGGATGGGTAAGTGGGTCTTGCTGTCTGACTGAAAAAAATTTAGTAGTTTAAAGTGCTGAAATTGAAATCTGCTGCAACCTATAAAATAAAATCTAGTCTACTGACACTAGATTACATGAGAAACTGTACGTATTTAGCAACTTTTCACTTTATACATGTCCATAGATTGGTGAACACTGTATTGAACTGTGAGGAGCACTGTGAGAGGCTGTGGCAGTGTATGTTGGCAAAAAGTCTTCAGAAAAACCAGTTGCTCCATTGGCATAGAGGGTAAGAGGTATCTTTTGAATTAGAGGAATAGCTGACACAGGCAGCAAAATCAGAGGATAACTATTGTTCAGTATAGAAATATTGGTTAGAGTGAATGGCCCTGTCCCTGAAACAGTTACACTTAATAGAAATCATTGCTCCTCTTGTTGATCCATGTTGTTCACATAAACGAAGAAGCTCAATCCAATGTACATCAAATGCAAATAGCTAAAGTTCTGGCATACAGTTCTCACTAGCTGTTTGTGCACCTCTGTGTGTTTTATCTACAAAGTAAAAATGGAACTCAGAGTAAATTTAATACAGTTGTAGCTTTTGGGTAGTTTTGATCTATGACCTTCTAGCCTGAGGGTAGAACAACTGTTTTGCGCTCTGCTTGCCTTGAGAAAGCAGAAATCATGTGATACGTGCTTTAATTTTTATTGGATTTTCCTGTGATAAAGTTATGTTTCTGGGTAGCTGAACTCTTAGATTTTTACGTCCTTCAGGGAAAAGAGACAGTGTATCCAGATACACAGTTCAGCTAATTTAGCAACTGATTACTTCATACTGAAGATAGCTGAGAGTCCACTTCTCAGAGCTTTGCTAGGAGACACATCTACATCATACAAGGACTGTAGGATTTCCCTTGCAGTGAAATGCATATTGGAAATCAAACTGGTCAGCTGAATCTGGCACATGGAATAAATATTGTTTTCTCTTCTTTAAAATGATCCTCTTCTGATTTTACTAAGTGTCTACTTGTGTTAGCATTGTGGATATTGGTGCACAAGAGATTTGTATTAATCTTGTGTTTTGTACATATTAATAACATTACTCCTGCCTCACTTCCAAAATCAAGAGTTCTAACCTTGTAGTCTTTCCTCATACAGTAGTTACTCTATCTCTCTTCATCCTTTTAGTTGGACAATTCTATACCTGTAGATGAGGACATTATGCAGTACTTGAGGCGTGGGTTTACTAGGGTTTTATATAGTGGCAAAATAAGGATGTTAACCTTGTAAGTGAGGAATTATGTGCCAACTCCCACATGAGGTAGGTGCCCTTGCCACTTCTCTATGCTTTCTTCAGGTTATTGATGAAGAAATTGAATAAAGCTGATCCCAGAGGTGCCCCACTGACTGCCTGTCTCCATTTTGAAATGTGGTAGTGTAGTGTTTGCTTTCTATCCTTGAAGTGTCTTTTCATCCAATACTGTTGGATAGGAATTCCTGTAATAGTATTTGATATAGAACCTTGTCCAAAACTTCCTGAAAGTCCAAATATATTAGTGTCCAGTGGAAACAGTGTCATACTGGTGAGCTTTTAATTACTTTACTTTAAATTAAAAATATCAGAGTATTTGCTATTAATTTTGCCTTTCTTCTATATGACAAGTAAAGCCACCTCAACTTTTGACACAGGTGTTTGAGGAACCCAGAATTAGGATGGTGATATGTCTGTGTTTCAGATCCTGCAGTCAGTTAATTAGTGTGTTCATCAGTGTTTTGTTTCTTACAGAAAAAAGAGTTTGATATGGATAACTTGAGCAAGCCAGAACTGCGGATGCTTTTGAGTGTAATGGAAGGAGAGCTAGAAGCACGAGACCTTGTAATTGAAGCCTTGCGGGTAAGTTTCTGTGCTGTTGTGGTTTGCCTTTGTGTTTTTTAATTCTCTCTTGCCACTTCCTTTATAGTTTGCATAGAATATTATTAGTGGAAGAGTAAATTGTGATTTTAAAGTTTTAGATTGATTAATCTCAGTAATCCCAAAATATGTTCTTGTTCAGTTGTTGCCATTCTGTAATTCTTCCTAATTTTGGTATAAAATACCAAAATTTCAGAGAGCTAGGTGCAAAATCTGCAATATTACTCCCTCTTTAAATCCTTTTATATTGCAGTCTTTTAGTTGTGAAATGTGTGAATAACTTAAAAGGAAAATTCAGTCCATTTGTAATTTGTTCTAATGGTCTCTATATTTGTGTATCTAGTCTATTCGATGCATTTATTTTCTGTGAAATGGAAGGACAGAATTGGATGGTCCTGTCCACTTAGGGAAATATTTTTGTAGATTTTTTTTTTAAGTTTATTAATTTTTTTTAATAAAAGGTGAAATATGGAACGTATACTCTTAACAGCACTCACAAATATCTGATTAGATTTTCGCTGTGTTAGGCAGAATCTGTGAAGGCAGCTTTTCTGCTTCGGAAAGTTGCAGTCTGAAAGGCAACTTAGAAAGTTGATTGGAATTGCTAAAAAAAAAAGAGAGAATAAAAATCTATATTTTAGTCAAAAGATGATAAATTCTTATGATTATAGTGACTTTAAAATTTATCTGGAACAGAATAAAATTTAACAGAGCTGACAAACAGACTGCAGGTTTAGAGGGGAAAACAGCCTTACATGGTTTGAAAATATTTATAGCTTCATGGTTGGATAGAGGGAAATTATGCCCTTTTAGGTCTCTTAAAGCAAAAGCCCAATGTAATAAAGTATCTACTACTAGTTTGCAGTAGTATGTGTAATGATTATCAAGTAGTGTGGGAACATTTTCCACTTGTAATGTCACAGTAACAATCGTAAATGCATTTTGATTAAATTTTAATTTGTTTTGTGATGGATTCAGATCACTTGATGCAAATGGAGCTTTAAAGTAGCTGTCATTGATGTACCTGCTTTAATAACTAAAGACTTTATAGGCATAAACCTTTCTTATAAAATAGACATTTTTTTTTTTGTAATGACAATAAGACACTGGAAGCAATGTGTTTCTGGGGATTACTGAACTTTGAAGTCATTTGGTGTTTGGCCCTCAGGTATATGAATATGTTGAAATGTACTGCCTTTTCATCTAGCTGTTTTACAATTTCACATCTCATTTGCCTGGACTAGGACTTTTTATTTTCCCTGACTACCAGTTAAGGTTTTATAAAAGGGGAAGCAATGTGCACACCACATTGAGAATCTCTCGTTTTTTTGACTCTTCTACCTTTGGAGGAATGCAAATAGAATATTCAGACAATTTTCTCTAATGAATGTTTTTGAACAAGGTACTACACTATTTACCAAATAATGGATGTATTGAAATCGAAGAAAATTAAAAAAAAAAAAAAAGAATGCAGTACACATTTGATGATAGTAGAATTTCAACATTCAGGATAGTCCAGTCCCAGGAGAGAAAAAGTCTACGTCGGATTCCCATGAACCTGCTGAAATGGGTAGTATATACAGTCTTTTTGTGATGAGTAATATAGATCAATATAAAAAAACTAGCTCCATTTCACATAAGGTACATAAGTGTTGAAAATTTATTTTCTTCTATTTTTGTTTTTTTTCTTCTGCATCTCAATGTTGTTCCTGTATTTTGTAGTAAAATCCTCTAAACAAAATCCCTGTGGAACTCAAATCTTCCAGGCACCTTGCCTGGTTAGATGTACCAGTATTGGAAAACTTGAAAGTTATATCTGCTGAAGAGCTATAGCCTGATATCTTGGAATCTGATACTTTGGGATCTTCTGGCTGCTTGCTTGTGAGCCACAAGTCATCAGTATTAGCATTTGGAGTCTCCAAGCAGCACACATAATAAGCTACAAGATAGCCAAATATAGGTGTATTACAGAAGTGAATAACAAGAGAATTCCACTGGAATTGAGTCAAATTTGGTACTTTGATTTGTTTCAACAAATTTGCATATATGTTTTGTGTATCCTTAAAGCAAGGAAATGGTTTTCAGATAAAGGAAAAGACTTCTATGTTGTTATTTCAAAAGCTGAGCAAGCTGTTTCAAAATTAGGAGTTTGTGAGTGTGTGTTTGTGGAGGGTTTTTGTTGTTGCTGCTGTTGTTTGGTTGTCTTTTTGTTTGTTTTTTTTTTTTAAATCCTACTAGTACTGCAGGGGTGTTTCAAAGTCTGGCTTGTCTGATAGTTCAAAGCTTGATAATTTCCAGTCCTATACTAGATAATGTGTGTGCTGTCTTTTCCTCTTAAGTGATCTTCTTGTCAGCTTTCAGTCACTGTGGTATATACATTTATTAAGCAGTTTTATATGTTCTTGATCTTTTTGTAAGACTACATAACTGGATCTCTTAATCTTCTCTTAGAAAGTAACCATTTGTTCTTGAGGTTGTCAGCTCAGATTTTACTGTATAATCACTTAAGTTTAACTACAGCATTCCTAAATGTGTGTGCCTTTATTCACAGTCATTTTGCAGGGTTTCACTGAGCATTTGTAAAATTAATGCAGTAAATACTACTTATTTCTATTGGAAATGCTTCTCCTGGAAGTCCTGGCATTAAAGCAAATCAGTCTTGACTGATTCCAAAAGAACTGATAATACTGACTCTAATTAAAGACTAACTCACATGGTACTACCCTTAATCTGCACCTAGCATGAAGTTTCTCATTTTAACAAGACTCGTTTGATGCATCATTAGCTTGTCATTTTCTCATTGCAAAAATTCCTGTTTCCTACTTCACTCATTTTGCGTGAAGCCACATCGTGTGCTTTACTGAAGATCTGAGATCTGATGTTTTTTCTCTGTCTATAAAGCCAGTTATATAAAAAAAAAAATCACACCTACCTTCAACATCCATAGGTAGGAAATCTTTTCAGGCTGATTCCTACAAGAGCATGGTTCTCAGTGCCAAATGTCTTTTCTCTTGGTGTACGTGTTATGTGATCACAATCTATACCTTATCCACAGTATTTGCTGGTGGAATTGAGCAGAGATTTCTGGCAGAGATTTAAGGGGTAAGAACTAGGGAGCAGGAACACTATTTTTGGATAAGATATGGAGTTGGAAATTGTGTCTTACTGGTTTGTTTTCTATGCAACATTTATAGTGTATATATATGTATTATGAAATTCTTACTTAAATCACTTTAAAAATCGTGGTTTAAATTAATTCTTTTCACTTATTTGATAAATTAGCTTTTCTTGATTACAGGTTATGGCTTCTTGATATGTTGTAAAAGTGTAATTTCTCTGTGTAGGTTCTGATGGATGAAGCAGGAAACATTTCTGACCTCTGTTTTTGTGGATTGAGCCTCAATCCTATATATGGAGCAAACTCTATTACTTAATAGCTCATAGAAATCTAGAATAATAATCTTTTGAATATGTTGTGTTTTTGTGACTTCTGGGGTTTTTTTGTTCTCTTATTTAAAAAATAGCTGTAAAATTATGCACAGTTTGATGTGTCAATAGAAGAAATGATACCCTGTGTCAGTTAGTACTGCTGTAATGTTGCTTTTCTGACAGGGAAACAATGCCCTTGAATTTCAGAATTGTATTGCCTTCAGATGTTTGTCTACTGGCTGTTCTTTACAATATATTCATTGTATCATAAAGTGCGTTTGTATTTTATGACTTTCAGTTTAATTCCTCCTGGTACTGGTAGCCGTCAGTGAACACTACTAATTCCTCATTCAGTACTTTGAAGATGTTGCATAACTTCTGCTTATTTACATCTTGGTTTCAGAAAGGTGCAGTCCAATGAGAATAAAGAAGAAAGGCTTCAGAGTTTGCTACTGCACTTTGAAAAGATTGAGTTAGGGAATTTTGAGTCTATCCACTGGGTTTTGTTCCAGTTCAGTGTCCATTCTGTCTATTCTGTGTAAATAATAAAAGAAAAAATTAAAAATGAGAAAGACCAGTGGTTTGGCAATCCTATTTCTTAAAAAGGGTTGTTGCTTGCCACTTCAATGATTGAAACTTTATCTAACTGGGTCAATGTCTCCTACTATTACTGTGTAAGTAGTTGTTTGCCGCTTTGATAAAAACAGAGAAAGCTGAAGGATTTTTTTGCCCTTAGCATGCTTAAATTTGTTATAGTATGCTCTGATTTGTACAATACAGAACTCATGGTATTTTGCTGAATTTATCTCTCTTTGAACACTGTTTCTTTTGCAGGGAACATTGGCTGACTGGAATCTGGAAGTCAGAGAAATTGAGATTTGAAAGTAGTTATCAACCAGAGCAATTTAGGTGGCTGGACAAGTTCAGCCCTGTGAGGACCGCCAGCCTTGGCAGAGCAGACCTTTGTCATGCTTAGGGTCAAACTTCCAGATTTATTCTCCAAGTGAACAGTTAATTTGCTGTGGAGGACAGCATCAAGATTCCCCTCAAAGAGGAGATTGTGTAAAAATTGTATAAATCATACTCATTACCACTCTGATTTTGTACAACTACTGCAGAGAATTACTTAAGATAGTTCTTTTTGAATCCGTACTTTATTTTTGTGGCTCCATGATCAGGGTTGCACCACAATAGATGTTAAATTCAGATTAACATTTACATCATTAAAGTTATTTCATTAATGAGAAATAACATGCTGTTTAATTGCTATCGGGAATGCATATAGCAAAAAAGGAAGGAGACTTAACTATTGCTGCTGCCTCCATCTGTCTCAATTATCCAAATAAACTGTCTACCTATAATAAGGGGGTAATATATTCCTAATGTGGAGGTAATGTGACCACATAATCAAAGCACAGGTCTGGCCTCCCACAACTGTGACCTCAGATACTGCATTCATTTGTTGTTTGGGTTTTTTTTTTCCTCCAGTTATGAAGTGGCTGCTGTATCTGCCTGTTTTCTAGAGGATTTTTTGAAGTACATTGACCCTCACA